ACCCCTCACAGCTCAGTGCTCTTTTAGCCAGCAGAAAGACAAGGAAATGCTAATATTTGCTGAAAATTTATTGTGTACTAGACCCTGTTCTAAGTTCCTTATATTATTTATTAGCTCATGTAACCTTCCCAACAGCAATCTTAGCCCCGTTTCACAGGTGGGAAAACAGAGCTACGCAGAGATTAAGTCGCTTTCTGGGGGGACCAGAATCTAACTCTAGGTAGTATAATTGCTGTGGACACTGCTTTAAAAGCCATTGTACTGAACTTCTTTCTACCAACAAAGAGAGGAGGTCTGCTGGGCCAGAGGCCCAGGGGCTGGCTACCTGGTGCTGGGCATGTCACTGCTACTTACACTCCACATACTTGTCTTCGCACTTCTGTATAAATGCTTTCTTTCTTTTGAGATAGTGAGCTAAGGGAGCTGTCTGTTGAGGAGAAGCCAGGAGTCTTCCCCGAGCCTTCTTCTGGGAAGCGCCCCTCCAAGGCTTGTTCGGGTCTGTTTGCTGACAACCTGCCGGGCAAACAGGGCTCTGGTGGCCACGCCAGGGAGCAGCTGCTCAGTGTGCAGGGAAGCGCGAGTGCAGTTTGCAGAGCAAACCGACTCTAATTTGGACAAATACTGCTGTGGCCTGGGACTACGAGAGAAAGCAGCAAGGGAGCTGCCATGGGCGTTTCCATGGGCTGAAGTCAGGAAATAGAGGAGCGGCCCAGGAATGTGTGGGGTCTGGGCTCCTCACCCTGAGTTCACTCGGCGGGTCAAGGACTCCAGCGCTGGAAAAACCGTGTGACACCTGGTGCTCATGGAGACAGTGCTGCTGAATGGAGGGGAAGGCCACCTAAGCCGAGGTAGCATTCAATCGAGGTTTTTAAAGGTTTCTACCAGTTAACAATCTCGCAGGGTACCACAGGCCCAAATCTCACACAAGTGAGCTGCTAAACACACACACACACACACACACAAATAACAATGTAGAGAGAGAGGTTTGAATGCATATTGTCTAGCCCACTGTTTCCCAGACTCTGCTGGGCATGCATATCACTGGGATAAAGGCAAATAAATCTAGGTTTGCATCTCACACTGCCAAACCCTACCTGCATATCTTGGGCAAGGCACCCAGCTTTGCTGGACATCTATGTCATCTTTGTACAACTGCCACCAGCCTCATGAGGCGGCTGAGGACATGACACTGTGCAAATGAAGGGCAGAGCCCAGGGTCTGTAAGTGGCAAGTCCCACTGAATGGCAGCTGGTTGTGGTTTCCTCGTTATCAGCAACAAGTATTCATTCAACAAGTGCTTATGCAGTGCAGCACTAGACTCTGGGTGCCCCACATGTCCCCCATGACTGGGTTTGTCTAGGGTGACCCTGTGCCCTCCTTCCCCCCACCCCACGGCAGAAAGAATAATGCTGTTGTCACACAAATACCTGTGGTTCCACCTACAGGAGGCATGTGGAGCAGCCAGGTCTACAGCGACAGAGAGTGGAATGGTGGTTCCAGGGGCTGGGGGAGGGGATGGCGAGTTAGTACTCAACCTGGTGGAGGTCGCCACTGATCTGAGAGATACAAACAAATCGGGTGCATATTAAGACATTCAAGCCAGTTATAACCTTGAACCTACACTTGTAACAACACTTGAGAAAGGAGTTTGTTTGTATCTCTCATATCAGCCGCGACCTCCGTCCGGTAAGAGACAGAGTTTCTGTCTGGGATGAGAGAGCACTGCAACACAGTGATGGTTCACGACTGTGTTTAATGCCACTGAGCTGTGCACTTAAAAGTAGTGAAAGTGGTAAATTGTACGTTATGTGTATTTTACCACAGTGAAAAACAAGGAATAAGGCTATTGTTTAAATTTAAAGTCAGGGTATTTGCCCTGGCTGGTGTAGCTCAGTGGATTGAGTACGGGCCTATGAACCAGAGTATTGAGGTTCGATTCTCAGTCAGGGCACATGCCTGGGTTGCAGGCCAGTTCCCAGTGGGGCACGCACAAGAGGCAACCATACATTGATATTTCTCTCCTTCTCTTCCCCTCTGAAGATAAATAAATAAATAAATAAATAAATAAATAAATAAATAAATAAATCTTTAAAAAAAAGAAACAAAAAACACATGCTTGGCAACCAAAGCATAAATCCATTGTACTTAAAATAAAATAAAATAAAGTCAGGGTATTTAGTGATGTTGTGTCTTACTGTATAAGACTAAGAATTATCCATAACACACTTTTAAAAACATCATTCAGTACCGGGGAGCAGGTGCACAGCTTGGGGTAACCCCGGTTCCCTGGGTGCAAGAGGTGCCTGCTGCCCCTCCTGGCAACGGTGGCCTTTGAGCTGGGGGAGCGCCAGCTGCATCTACCAGGACCCCTCTTCTCCACGAAGCCCTTCGTGATCCGTGGGAGGGCTCTGCTGGGGCATGCCGTTCTAGAACAGCACCAAACCCAAAAAGATAGTTACTAAAAGCAACGATTCTTAGAATTAACAGAGCGTCGAAGTCATTTGGGGAGCTTCCTTTGCTACGACCAGAATGGAAAAGAGGACACTCGGGACACGAGTATCCTTTACTGACCCCAGCTCCCCTACAACCAGCGCAGGCCCTGACACACAGGTGCCCAGGGGCGGGGGGGTCTTAGGCGGAGGGGGAACGGCAGGGGTGCCTCTCAGACCTACCAGCACCTGACTCCGATAAAGACAAATTTATCCTGCTCTGATAAAGAGAAATCTGGCCCAAGACAGAGAGGTTAAGTCCAAAGTCAGGCACTTTAGTTAGGTAAATGGTGATCCCGGCTGGGGTCAGAACCAGGCCTCCGGGTCCCTAACCCAAGACCACCCCCACCGTGTTATCCTAAAACCTGACAGTCCAGACACCATTTGATGTTAAGTCTAATTAACTCCCACCTGGAATAACTGAACTTTTGTGTTTCTCTTATTTGTTTCTTTGATACCTGGTGTTTGTACAGGTAAAGTAAACTTTTTAAAGATAGGGCGTGGGGTCAGAGGCCTTGCTTTCTACCCAGTGATAAGTGCAGGAGAGGCTTGGGTCTGTGCCAGCCCATCTGACTAACACATTGAGGCTTCATGCATCATGCTTTACTCTAAAACGGCCTCCTTTGGGTTCGATCCAAAAAAAAAAAAGAAGCAAAAAACTACTGAACACTGCCAAACGCCAGCTCCGCAACATCAGCCTTTGTAACCCCAAGGAGACCCAGAGAAGCCATTACCTACACAGCCGCAGGCGAGGCGGCCTGCACTCCCCAGTGGCTGCATTTGGGGGAGAGGGACACCTGATATTTAAGCAGCACCACGTCTGGCGTTTAGCAGCCCCTCAGTGAACGTTTGTTGGATGAATGAAGGAACATATCCATCTATGCACACCATGCAAACTCCTGCTTCTCTGCTGCATCTCTTGTCATTATCTGGAAGGTATCAAGTGCACCTTAGAGATTAGCCTCAGTCCCAAGCCTTAGGGTGACAATGTAGTCAGGCAGGAGATAAAAACACCCAAATGAAGAACAGAACAAACAAAACAGAGCTCGTTAATCACCGAAGCAGATAGAAGTGAGGGGGTGGAGAGGGTGCTGCACAATTTGCCAGCTAATTTGTGCAAACATGTGAAGTTTGGGAATAATTTAGAGAGCAGAGAAAATGCATGTCTGTATGCCACCCAGCAGTCACTGCTCTGTCATAGTGGGTAAGGACCAAGCTAGCAGGGCTCGCCCCCAGGGATGTAGGCTGGTAAGACAGGGGCCTCCGAATATCCCCCATGGCTCTCCTGGCCGTGTCCCACTAACAGGACAGAATCGACAGCAGGAGGAAGCCCTGTCAGCTGGAGAGGCTGCCTGGGCCCGCTCACCACCCTCCTGTGGCAGGAATACCTTTCGTTTCCTGGGTTCTAGGGGGCCCAGAGGCTCCCACTGAGGTTTATGGCCGGCACCTTCCCAAGGAGCCCAGGAGTGATCAATCAGCAAGAGCCACCTGGAGCACCTGTGCCCAAGCAGATGTCCCTTTCATTTGTGCTGGTGCCCAGGACCAAGCTATTTATACCTCTGGCCTCGGAAAACCTGGGGAGACTTATTTAAACTAAAGGAGGCTACACACTAGTGCAGCAGGAACTAGCTGGGACCTGGTGACATGGGAGTTTGCCAGTGCCCAGCTTCCCTGGTGTGGCACACTGTGTATGTTTCGAAAGTGGGGGGATGGGGAAGGAGGTGGTAAAGTCAATACTTCAAGTCGGTCCTGATTGGATGGGGTGTGTGCTTTCTTTTCCACCTCACTTGCTGTGGAAGCTGTCTATTGAAAGGTTGTGTAAATATGATGAGTCAGTCCCAGGGCCGTTAATAATCCCCCAGACAGAGCCCGCCCCGTTCCGCTTGATTTCTGAAGTTTTGAAAATGTAAAATTTCTAGAAGCAGAAATTTAACCAGGGGGGGCGGCATCCAAGCGTGAGATCTTTGCCGCCACCGGGACGGAGCCCCTGGGTCCGGGAGCTGAGCAGGCCATCACCACCATTCGGCTGCCCCTGTGAACGAGTCAGGGCAACCGCAGCGGCTTTGGGGACTGAGGGAGGCGCAGGAACGTTTCCAGCCGGACTGGGGTAGCATGCCTTGGGCTACGGCGACATCTGCTGGCAGTCACTGGTGATAAAAGCCAGGGCTCGGAAACTAAATGACCTCTTATTTTTTAATTTCTGTCTGAGAACAGCATCGACACAACAGGGCGGCTGTTCTCTGCAGTTTCCCCACCCTCCTTTGGGCACTTTCAGTCCTCTAAGTGGCAAAACGTTTCTAAGCAATATCCGTATCAAAGTACAGTGATGACTGATACACTTAGAGAGGGCTCCTGAAAAATAAGTAGTCTTCCCCACAGAGCCGAGATCCCAGCTTGTTGGTGCAGCGTGATCCTCTCGGTGAGTTAACAGCGAAGCCTGACATCTTCGGAGACATGCCACCCACGTGTACAACGATCTCGCGCTTCCTGCAAAATCACACGCATCTTCGCCATTTCTCCGACCCCTGGTCCGGCCCGGGGCAGGGCGGGCTGCCGAGCTAGCCCGGGGAGCCCCACTCCGAAAGGCAGGACTGACGGACTGGCCTCACACGCGGTCGTGGAGTGCCTCTCCGCCTCGGGCGCCCTGCGCTGCCCGCGGAGCAGAAAAGACCGATCCGATCACGTCAACGTGGATTGGCAGCGAGGCTCACGTTGTAGTTGGGAGAGACGGACCACAAACCGGCAGACGAGTCTGTCACAGGCGGACGCAGCGCGTCGTGATGGTTCCGTGGCATCAGTGGGCAGGTGCCCTTGGACCCGCGGCACTTAGATGCGGGGAGCCCGCCAGGCAGGCGGCGCGCATTCCCGGGGGAGGGGCCGGCGGCGCGCGGCCCGGCGGCGGGCCGCGGAGGGAGCGCAGGCGGGAAGCCGGAGTGAGCGTGGGGCCGCAGGCTGCCTGGGCCGAGCCAGGACTTTCTTTCTGTAACGGAGACGCGGGCAGTCCTCTGCCTTGAAGGGGAGTGTGCGCGTCGCACAGCTGCGTTGTTGAAATGGAATCGCCATATTGTCCTGTGTATAATGTGCACATTTGCCCAATTTTTTTAGGGAAAATAAGGATGCTCATTGGACATGGGTAGCACTAATTCCGCACCTATTGTTACATAAAATTTCTTGTACCATAATATGTTAAAAATAAATTCTAAAATTACCTTATAATACAAAAACAAGTATCTAAATATAATGAACAAATAATTAATTAAAAAGTGAAACAAAGGATGTTTCTCCTGCAAGTTTGAGCCAAAAAGCGGGTATGCATTACACATGGGAAAACACGGTACCCCTCAGAAAAGAAAGCTTTATTCAAGATGAAAGTTTTATTGGGACAGAAATGAACATAATGCTGCCTGGGAAGGGGATGGTTTACTGTGGAGGAAGTACGTTAGATACTGTGTTTCGTTTAGCAAGTATGGGTAGATTCTCGTCTTTAGGAAGAGGACAGTGACCCTCTGAGCTGAGGCAAGATAAACGACTGGCTGTGCTCCTGAGGCCACCAGGTGGCGCTGTAGACTCAGAAAAGTGGGGCTGGGTTCCCTGAGGGGCAGAGACGGAGAGCCTGGAAACCAGGACTCATTTGCTTCTAAAACAGGTCCGTCTCAGATACTAACACAAACTTGCTTCTGTTTTTTCTTTTCAAAGAACAAGACATCTCCATGATTTCCCGTTCACACTGTCCGGTGTCCTGCGGTGCCCCAGCACGCCTAACAACATGCCCAGCATGGTGCCAAGTGCTTTGCAAATGGTTCCTGATTTTAACTTCACAATTCCATGGAGGTAGGTTCTATTATTGACCTCAATATAGAAAAGGAATCTGAGACTCTGAGAGCTTAAACAAATCACCCGTATATCTGAATCCAGACACTCTGACCCCAGAGCCCAGCAGAGTTGCTACTCTCTGAAAACTAGGACAAACTGGGCTTTCTAGATGAGAGGGAGGGAGTGTAGGCTGTTACATGAGCTAGTGCTCTCCTTGGGGGGCCAGGTAGTGTCCAGAACAAGAGACACGTTTGCATGTCACACACGCACCCTCTGCTGAGCCACCTCCGCAGCTGAGATGCCTGCCTGCCTCTGCATCAAAACTGTTGGCTTACGTGTATTTCTTCCTTCTCTACCAAGAGCTTAGAAATGGCAGGGACTTCTTGCTTATTTTTAAGTAAGAAAACCTCAGTTAAGTGTATTCCACCTATTTAATAGATTAATTTGATTAGTTAAAAGTCTTAATTAAAAATAAACTTTTTCTTTTCAATGGGGGTAAAATAAACACAATACAAACTTTGCCACTTTACCCCTTTTTGAGTGCACACCCCAGTGGTGTGGTGCACCCACACTGCTGTGCAGCCGTCTCCACCCCCCCATCTCCAGGCCTCCTCACCTGGCAAAACTGAAACTGCGTCCCCATGAAACACCAATTACCTCTCCCCCCACACACACACTCTGTGGCAACCACCATTCTACTTTCTGTCCCTGTGATGTCGCTGCCCTGGCCACCTGGTGTAAGTGAAATCATACAGGACCTGTCTTTTTCTGACTGGCTTATTGCACAGCATAATGTCTTCCAGGTTCACCCAGGTTTTTACACAGGCCCAGAGTGTCTTCCTTTTTAAGGCTGAACAGTGTCCTACAGTAATTATGTACAGTAATGTAATACCTTACCATTCAATTTTATCATAGAATTTTCAAACATACATACAGCTTTAAAAAGTAGCTGAATAGCCTGGGCCGGTGTGGCTCAGTTGGTTGGGTGTCGTCCCACAAACCAAAGGACCACCGGTCCAGTTCCCTGTCGGGGCCCACCCCTGGATGGACCGATGAATGGATGGATGGATGAGCGAATGCGGGGATGGGGACAGCCCTGAGTAGAGTGATACAAGGATGCGTGGAAAAGGGAGCGGAGGGCATCAACGGTGGTCTTGTTCCCCATCCGACCATCTCACAACTGTACCGGAGACCTTCTTTGTGCTGGGTTATCCGGCTGGCAAGAGGCTGCATGGCCAGTGAGCGCAATGCCCAGCCTGCCCACTGACTGCCGCAGCCTCTTGGCAGGACCGGGGCTGCAGATGCACCTGGACCTCACCAGCTCTTTTTGTGTTGACGTAGCGCTGTCCACCCACTAGGGCCACAGGCCATGTGAGTTTTCTACCCTGGGACCAGTGGGGTTTTTTAGGAGACAAAAGTACGTTTTATCATCTGTGCTTCCTGTATGAAATCATTTAGATGCTGGGCCACTTTTAAACTCCTGTTACTGGCTCGTCACACATCTAAACGTTCTCTGTCAGTGGTACTGATCTAGGTCTGCTGGGGCCTGTGTTTACAGTCTGCGAGCCCTAGAAAGTTCAGTCAACATCTGCATTATTTCCTTCTCTGAGAGAAAGCAGAACACCAAAGAGAAGACTCCAGAACTGGCCGTGGCCTCAACTAGCACAAACCCACTTATCCAGCTCTGAAGGCTCCCTGCACTGGAGAGGCTGGAGAGTGTGCACTGGTCACTTATGTCCCAGCTCAGCTACTCCTTGGCTGTGTCACCTCGGGCCAGTCACCCTCTCTGAGCCTCAGCACCCTCATCTGTCAGACCAAGGTGACAAGTTCCCACAGAGACACTGTGCACAAGGCCCTCAGCGGAGTGCTTCCTAGCACTCCAGAGAGGAGCTGTTCTCGTCTCCCGCAGAAGCAGCCTTGCGAGAGAGCCCCTGCTGAGAGAGTCTGGTTCACAGCTGCGATGAGGCTGTTTTGGAAGCTGCAGACTGATGACTGGAAAAAACCGTGCATCACAAAATCTTCGTCAACTCAGGACATCCCCTCTGAAGTGGAACGCCGTGGGCTTTTTAAGCAGAGATGCACAGTGGTTTCTCTTGGACAATGTCACATGAGTCCTGGTGTTTGTGAAGCTCTCACGGTGATTCCAACTTTCTTCTGTGAACCCCACCCAGGGTTCTATCAGGGCTGAGAGAGACCTCTCTGTACCACTGTCCTTAAAAGATTGGGGTTATGCCCCCCAAATTCACATCTTCCCATGAGAGACGCCTTTTCCACCCACCCTTCTAAACCCTACTGCCCTTATTTGTGTTTTCAGGCAAAACAATATGGAGATGAGACTGGATGTCAACCAGCCGAGTGGCGCCGAGTGTCAAAGTCACACACACTGCACACCCCTGGCTAGGGAGAAGCAAGAACATGGAAAATCTAAGGACTCTCAGTAAATATTACGTCCATAACACTGCAGACACAGCCCTCGACTGAGCCATCTCTGAAAAAATAATTCTTCTTCCCCAGCCAGTAAGTTAGCCTGTGTTTCTCCAATGTACATTTTTTTTAAACCAAGATATGTTATGTTTTCTTTTTATGATGGTTTGTGCTCAGGCATCCAATCGCTTTAGATTTATTCCACTTGGTGTAATCTCCTAAATTAGGCTTTTGCCTCTTTCCCCCGATAAGTCACTCCATTCTCTATTTTATTGCTTCTCTTTGTAATAACGGAAGCCACGTGTTCATTACTCACATCACCCCTTCACTTGGTTTCCACGCACAGGAGGAGCCTTGGCGCGTGAGGGGCGCCCCGAGTTGCCTTCCTGGCTGCAGCGTTTTCTCCTCTGACCGAGACTTCGCCCAGAGCACACACGCCAGGCCCCGCCCAGCCGGGCCGCTTCGTCAGAACGCACTCACCCCTCGGCAAGGCGAGTGCCCCTTGTCCTCCTGGGTGGGCTCTTCTACTTTTTCCTGTCTCCCTCCCAACGAGTCATGGTCAAGTGCAACCCAGGCAGGTGCACCGGCGTCACTGGGAGAGGCAGCCCAGCAGGGGAACAGCATGGGTTGCAAGAGCAAGCCACCCGACCTCCAGGCCTCCGTTTCCCCATCAGCACAGCGAGGGCGATAAAGAGGATCCGCCTCTCGAGGCTGTGGATGTGGAGACGTGTCAGAGATGGTTACGCTGGGCCCGGGCTTCTTCCAGCCAGGCCAACTAGACTTTAATCTAAGCCCTGCAGACCAGTGACCTTCGGCATTTCCAAGGCAAGGTCTGGGTGGGCCTTCCTTCTCCATCCAATTTTTTTTCCAGTTGGTTCTAGTCACACACTGGCTGGGACCCTGTGTCCTTATGGATAGTCCCCGGCTGTGGCTTGTGTTGGCCATTCCCTCCGCTCTGCTTTGGCCTACCTTGGTGGGGGGAGCAAAGGAGGCCACCGATGCTTGCCCTGAAGCCTTGAAGACCCTTAAGGGGGGGGAGCTGTAGAAGAAGCCCAAGGACCAATGTTGAGGAGACAGGGCCACCGCTGTGGCTGCCGAAGTTTCTGACGCCCACAGAGTCTGTCGAAGCCGTCCTCCAGACCGTAGGAGAGCGCCTCTCTTCATTTGCTTTGGCTGTTGCACTGCGCTCTCTTCTACTGAGGTGGAGTTCAGGGCGGGCAGGAAGATGACCGGTAATGGACCTCAGGACTTCTTAGCCTGCTGTCCTCCTGTCCCAGCCCCAGCCATTCGCTCACTCACCCAACTGTCGCGTCTGCAGTAGCTGGCACTGCGCCCTACACCAAGGGCACAGAGGTGATGAGGGCGGTCCTCGGCCTTGCGGAGCTCACCGGTCGGTGGAGGACGGCTGTAACCCAGTGCCATCCAAGCTTTGATAGGGAGCCCAGGGTGTTATGTCTTTGGGTACCAGTGACCCCCCAAGTCAGGGAAGTCTTCCCAGAGGCTCACTGCCCTGGCCCCAAACTTGAGTAGCAGCTCACTCACCTCTAAGAAGCACTTGCCCCAGAGAACTAATGGACCCCTCGCAGGGTGAGCCTCCGCCCTGGGCAGGCCCTGTGTGGGCTGGAGCCAGGGCCCCGGACACACATGCAAAGTGCCCAGCACAGCACCTGGCCCGAAGCACGTCAGCGAAAGGGAGAAATGAACTTTTTTTTCATACTTATAGGCTTTTAGTCAAAGATAAGGCGCTTGTACAATTAGACTGCTGTCAGTTGCTGAACAGTCTTACAATCAGCTGAGCATAGGTTGTAGGGCAGGGGTCAGAGGTCAAGCAAGAGGAGTCACATGACAGGGGGCCCGGGAAATAAGCAGGGACGCACGTCCTTTGCAGGGACCAGGTCCCCATCATGGATTACTAACATTTCTTTTCCTGTGGCCATTTCTTGCCATTTTATTTTTCTGATAGAACCTGCGTTTTCTAAAAAAAGACATTCCTTGTATCTCTCTCATTTCTCTCTTTGCTTTTCTACCCCCAGACACCCTCTTCTGACTTTATTCACTTGAAAGGAAAGGAAATTAAATGGAATAAAAATTCTCTCAGAAAGAGGCATGTTGATCTACCAGCTTTGAGAAATCTGTGTGTCTTCAATCCCCCCACGTGCTCATTTCCTTTTCTCCTCCTCATCATGGAGACAGTCCCTGCACAAGCCCTCTGCCCCAGCTGAGAGCGGGAGCACTGTCGTCGTCCACGGAGCCCTTGGTGTCAGTGACTTTTGACTACGCGTTCCCAAGCGTGGCCCTGTCCCCGCAGCAGAAAGGACAGCAGCGGGTACATTAAGTAATGTTCCCTCATCAGCATTTTGTCTCATCACATTGTTTTTTATATTTAATATTTATTACCCACTTCTAGTACCTTTGGTGTGACACAGAGCTACACTCTAAGCTCCAAGTCAACCATGGTGACAATAATCCCTCATATGTGCAATTTAAGATTCCGTTTCACACACGTCTACAGGTTGTGAAGTGAAATGACTTGATTCAGGGGCAAAACCAAGATCAGAAGGAGCTTTCCCAGCCCTGACTGCTGTGGCTCAGTTGGTTGGGCATCATCCTGCAAAGCAGAAGGTTGCGGGTTCGATTCTCACTCAGGGCACGTGCCCGGGTTGTGGATTCAGTCTGTGATTGGAGCGCATACAAGATGAGAGGCAACTGAGGGATGTTTCTCTCTCTTTCTCCCTCCCTTCCCCTCTCTCTTTAAAAATTTCACCATCAAATGGAAGTCACAGACTAGCCTGCCTCACCCACAACCCCCCAAATTGAGCCCAACCTGCTGTTGCCATGGTAACATATGATCCACTTCATTTTTTAAAATGAGAACCTTAACGCTGCTGACTCCCAGTTGCTGTCTCTAATTCAGACCTGCCCTGAGCACTAGACGTGTCAGCACCACTGCTTCCCGGCATTTCTTTATGACATCTCTTCATTACCTCAAACTCGGTCTTTCCCACCAAAGCTAAGTCACAACCTTCCCTACTGAATCTGTCTCCTCTCCAGTTTCCCAAACTACAGCTGCGTGCTCCTCACCTGCCCCCTCTCCCTCATTTCTTAGGGTGACCCACCCCCACCTCACACCACTGCAGTGTGCAGCGGGAGGGCTCAGCCCCACCCCGGTCCCGCTGAGCCCATCTGTTCGCGTCCTGAGCAGGGGATGACCGGTCCGGGGTAGGAAGGCCATTCGACTGCACGTGCGCCACTCCGCCCGGCACTTCCACGCACGGTGGGCTCGCAGGGCGGGGGTCCCCGCTCACACTGCGGAAAGGAAGACGGGAAGTGAATCCCTGGGACGGCAGTTCGTGCGGGAAGGCCCGCAAGAGCGAGCGGAAGCACAGCTGCCTGCATGAAAGTCAGAGGAAAAGTGTCATTACCATGGAAACCTGTTCGTAAAAATCGTGAGTCTTGAGGGCTGTGCCTCAATGGACTTGTGAACAGTGGACAGCTACTGGCCAGGGTGAACCCCTTTCTCCCTGACAGAGGGGCTGCCTGGACAGGTGAAAGAAGGTGCAAGAGAGATGATTAGGGAGCAGCAGGAACAGAAGCTGGTCTGAGAGTTTCAAAGTGGGAGCGGCCGGCCCCGGAACAGCCTGCCCGCAGTGGCCTCGGTGCCCACTCCTGCCTGGCCCGTTGGGTCCACCACCCCTTGTGCTGGAGCAGGCTACTCCAGGGCCCCCGAAGTGCCGCTGCAACCCTGACCCAGCCCGGACCCGGCCTTTGACGCTCAGGCAAATGCCTTCCACCCTCCTGGCCCTCTCTCTGATTTACATTGTGACTTAAATCTTCACCTGCAAGTGTACTGAGTGGCATTATAACCTCAAGGGGTGCTTTTATCCACCAACCTCAGTAACTGCTTTTCCTATTAGCTTCACCCTCCCAGAAGCACGGACTCAAAAGCTACATGTGCAATAAAGCTGCCCTCAGGTCCCAGCATACAGGTGACCTCAAAGCCAGCTTTTCTCTGATTTTTGGACCTTTCACCCCAAAAGGGAAGGCTTCCTTGGATTTGTTCAGGGAGAGGAGAGTGTGGGACTGGGACATATCTGAATTCTTGGGAGGGTTGCTGCTTAATCAGCTCAGGAGGCCGAGGCAGGCAGATGCAGTGGATCAGCACTGGCCACTGGTCCCCTCTTCCCACCAGCCTGCCTCTGGGACAGCGGAGGCTGGAATGCGACAGGCAGAGGCTCCTGGGCTCCTTGCAGCCGAGGCTGTGCATGTGGCTTCACTTTGGACAGACTATGTGCAGAGAATGAGGCAGAAACTGTGCTTCTGCCCAGGGGCAAACAAGACGGTGGGCTTTCTGCATCAGCTTGAGCCTCCCCCTGCCCCCGCCCCCGCCCCCCAGGGCACGGCCACCGGGCTCACAGATGTCCAGAGGCAGGAGGCCCTGGGCCGTGGTCTGGAGGATGTGAATGTGGCAGGTGCCATGTGATTCGGGACCCGGCCACCTTCATGGCAGCTTCTTGGTTGTGGCCCGGGCACATAATTCTGAAGCTGAAAGCTGCCTGCTCTGAGAAGACAGGAAGACAGATGTCTTAGGCTATGAATCAACTTATAAGCCATTGCTTGGAAGGTTGCTGAGAGTCTGTAAGCAATTTCATACCCTTTACTGAACGGCCCTCTGCTGAAACTCACTGGCAGGGACTCTCCTCCGCAAGTCAGCCCTGACCGCACAGGGTCTGAGGGCCTCACAGCTCACATGTGTGGGTGGCGTTGCAGAGAGACACTTAAGGGAAAAGGAAATAATGTCTGCAGTGGTGTGTGTGTGTGTGTGCAATTGGAAAATTACTAACTACAGCACAAATGTGTGAGTATTCTCAAAGACATTGGGTTTGAAACTAGCCATTATGCAGTGGGCATCGTCAATGACACTGCATCCAAGGGAACAAAAATGGCCCGTCCCCCCGACCGAAGGGCAGGTGGACCCCACCCATGGACTTAGACATGAGACTTAGAGAAGGACACACAGTCACGTAAGCAGCATCAAAGGCAGAACGAGGAAACATGGAACAAACACAAAGTGAGTGACGTTCCACTGAAAAGGTGAGGACTCAGTTCTGTAAACCGAGGGATTGCACTCTTCTAAAGTATTGATGTGTCATAAAAGACAGGAGGCTCCAGAAATGTAACAACTGAACCAGATCCTGTCCCGGAGTGGGAGGTCTGCTTCCTCTGCTTCTCAGGCCCCGTGGCCGGAAGTGGAAGTGGCCAAGGACATTCGCATCACAGCTTAGCCACCCACATTGAGAGGCGCTGGGTCTTCTGTCAGGCCCAGCTCTGAACATCTGTGCGGGGGGCTGGCGGAGACTTCGCAGGCTTCTCACCCTGGGCTCACCGACTCCGGCGGGGAAACCTGCTGCCATCGTTACAAACACAGCCGTCTGATGGATGGATGACGGATGGATGATGGATGGATGGAGTCGGGCTGGGGCAGTTCCTGAAGAGAGGGTACTGGGAAGAACCCAACATTAGGTAGTTCCACTGGGGTCTGCTGGGGCATGTCACAGAATTAGAGAACTTATATGTCTCAGCTTAGGGTTGCTTCTCTGGGGCTATTTTGACAAAGGCTGGGACTGGTTGTCACTCGGCACGTGACTAATAAAAGGTCTGATTAACAATAATCTAACTCTGCCTCAACAGAAAGACTGTGCAGAGTAAAGGGGTGAAGGTTACGTGCTGGCCCCTCTTAGGACTGGGACTTCTCCGTGACACCCCGCTCTCTCCAGCGAGGCGAACACCTCAGACAGTGGTGCTTCTTCATGTGCTTCTTCGGTTGGGAACTTCCGTGCTCAGTGTTGCCCAGGCTGCTCCCAGAACAGGGGGGCTCCCCTCTCAGTGGCGAGACTGGCCGAGACGCAGGAGGTGGCTGAGGTCTGGTGGGCCGTGAGGGATCAGAAGGAACAGGTGAGCTGGGTAAAGGAGAGAGGAGAGTGGGGAGACACTGCAGTGGATGCAGGAGAGCCCCCTGCCCCACTGCAGCACCTTCCTGAACAGGTTCCGGAGAGCGCTGAGAGGCGTGCAGGGAGAGAGAAAGGACCAGGTGCTTCGACCCCCTCTCCTCAATGCGCTGTTCCCGGGTTGCATCTCTGCATTGCGAAGGGCAAACTACTCAGCCCCACGGCAGCCATCCATTTATTCATTCATTCATTCACCAATGAACCAGTATTTATTAATTAATTTACTTCTATATCGAGCTCAGTGCTACTGAGAGTATTCTGAGATCAAGTCAGGGGACGAGACAGACATGTAAGTCCCAATATAATCATTGCTTTAAGGTGAGCATGAGCAAAGTGCCAAAGACAAGAGAGAGTCCCCGGGGCGCCTGCATGAACTGCAGGCAGCTTCATGGAGAAGGAATTCTGACTGAGTGGCGAGAGGGGACCCCGCTGAGCATGGGACAGCAGAAGGAACACTGGACAGGGCATCCGGCTGCCTGGGCTTTGTCCTGAGTCTACAGCCTGGGGCCAGCGCTGACTGTCCCTCCAGTTCTGTCTTCTCAGCAAGTCACTCCCCACCCTGGGCCCTGTTTCTACATATGCCAGGCGCTGGACT